CTTTGATCTTCATCAGTAAATGCTTTAAGTCCTCTTCACTTTCAGCAAGCAAGGTTGTATCATCTGCATATTGCAGGTTGTCAATGAGTCTTCTTCCAATCCTGATGCCATGTTTTTCTTCCATAGACATGTTGAAGGAAAAACTTCTTTCTGTTTCCTTACCTGGGAAGCTCTCTCAAGTCTCATTCTTCAGAGCTTTGCATAAGCTCTGGTATTTTTGGGGGATATCCCACCCGTCTCCTTTTCTAGCTTGGTTCTTATCTCAAGAATCTTTGCTACTGCAAAGCTTTCTTCAACTGAACTAAACCAGCTGCCCTAGAATTTCTTAATACCGCATCTCTTCCTACTTCTCTTAACAGTGAGTTGGAAGGTACTGGTGTTTGTGTCTTCACTGTGTTTCAGGAAAGCCATGACCCACTTGTGTTTCTAAAGGCTGTCTGGAGCTGGAAGAACATTTGAGAGGCAGTCCCTAAGTTTATGGGTGAAGGTGAGGGTTTGGAAGTTGGGAGGTGGCAAGAGCTGAAGTGAAGAGGAGTTTGGCGAGCTTTCTCTGAGGTCTGGAGGATTTTGCCATGTAGAGACCACCAGAGGTTAGATCTAGTCTCTGACAGGTGCTTCAGAGATGAGGTTGGAGAACTGAACTTAAAGAGTCTTGAAACTTAAATTTAGAGAGTCCTAAGACCTGAGATCTGAGTCCTGTGAATTTCAGAGAAGTCTCAGATTCTAAGGATCTCATAAACTTCAGACAAGTAACCTATGTGAGTGAGCACAACAGAATGAATGAAAAGTGCTGCCTTTGATTACTCTGGACTGCCTGAGGGTGCTGGCCTTGGAACATGTGACTGAATTTTGGAAAGCAGCAACACATACTTGACATGGAGCTTCCCCCTTAAAATGGAAGCTTGTTGTTGTTGTTGCTGTTGTTAAGTGCCGTCGAGTCAGTTCCGACCCATAGCGACCCTGTACAGGGTTTCCGAGGCTGTTAATCTTTACGGGAGCAGAACGCCTCATCTTTCTCCCGCGGAGCAGCTGGTAGTTTCGAACTGCTGACCTTGTGGATCACAGTCCGATTTGTAACCACTACGCTACCAGTTAGAGAACATAAAATTTAATTTTAATAGAAATAAAAGAAAGTAGTATAAATTGCCCCTGGTGGTGCAAACTGACTCTATACTTAAAAGTTTAGTATACTGGGTTGTGAAGATTAATTTTCTTTCCTTTCTCCCCTCTAAGTACTGGTGTAGAGAGCTGTAGGATAAGCATTGGACCACATCGATTTGAACCACAAAGTCAGCAGTTCAAACTTACCAGCTGTTCCTCGGAAGCCCTATACAGGTTGCTCTGAGTCAGAACTAACTCAATGGCACTTAATAACAACAAAAAAAGACTTTGAATTGCTTTGATCAGGAACTGGATATTGTGTATTTTCTTCTATTTATAGCACCTTGCACAGAATTCTGGTATGGCGCTGTGGGTTAATGAGCTGAACTGCCAAGTTGGTTTGAACTACAAGGTCAGCAGTTCAAGTTTACCAGCTGCTCTTCGGAAACCCTATACAGGGTCGCTATGGGTGTGAACAAACTTGACAGCACTTATCAACAACAACAAAGTACCTTATACAATGTGTGGTCTATACAAGATCCTGACAAATGTTTATTCACTGAAGTAGAGTTCAGTGTTCACTTTTGGAGAAGAAATTTTTGTGTAGTGGATTTTCTTTTGTCATTGAGTACATTCTGATTCATGATCGCCCTTGTCTTACAGAGTAGAACTTGTGTTCCATAGCATTTTCTTGACTGGAATCTTTGCTGTTGGTGATCATCAGTCTTTCTTCTGCAGCAGTGCTCGATGGGGTCAACCTCCACTCCAGCAGTTTGGGCCACCCAACCCCAAACAGCAAACCTACTGCTGTAGGCTTAATTCTGACTCAGAGGGACACTTTAGGATGGAAATAAAACTGCCCCTGATGGTTTCTAGGGTTGTAAAGTTTTTCAGAAGCAAACTGCCAAATCTTTTACCTGCAAAGCAATTGGTGGATTCCAATAATCACCATGGCTCCTTTAGGCCATCCAAGGACCTCAGGGCCTCCTTTTCTTCTTTCTTTCTTTCTTTTTTTGAAACTACAGACTAAAGAGAATATCACATTTTAACAAATTACCATGCAAACACTAACCCAAGATTTTTTTGTGTGTGTGTTTTTCTTTTTTTACTTTTTATTGTGAATTAATTGAAGGTTTGCAGACAAGATCATCAGTTTTGCATTTAACAAATCATACATTTTGCTTCATCTCAATGATTGCAGCTCCCTCCATGCAACAACATTTATCCCCCTTCCCTCCCTGAGGTTCCTATTTCCACTCCACCCGCCTTCCCATTCCCTCTCAACTTTGTCCTTAGGTTGTCATTTTTATTTTGAATGATTCTATAGTGAGCATACTTTACTAGATTGGTGTCCTTCTCTGCCCACCTCCTCGGCTGAAAGTTGGGCCACGAAGGTGAGTTCCACAACAAAAGGCACAAATGTGGCTACCCAAATGACAGAAAACAAAGCTCTGGTTGTTGGTTCCTGAAAATGGCCAAACATCAGAATTTCTTTTACTTGGTTTTAATTTCTAGTGCACGAAATGCTAGCTTATTAATGTTACTTGGAAAAACTTTCTTTGTTAGTGAAATTTATAAAGACTAAACACACCTTCTTCTAACCTAGAATTTGGTCATAAGTTGAAGGGCGGATCCGCTGATGCAGTCACGGGGTGTTCCTGGCACCCAAGAAGGCCCGTGTTGGGGCAGGGATCCCTGAAGGCTGGTTTTGGCTAACAGTGGGAACGCACAGTGCAGCGTTGGCAAGCGGGACGCTCAGCGAGGATCTGGGCAGCAACTGCCAGGAGCAGAAAAGGGGCGTGGGCGAGCAGGCTGAGGGTGGGCCGGGACCGCTTTCGCTTGAGCTAGCCAAGCGCTGCAGCCAGCCGAGGAGCACAGGGGCAGGCTCAGGCAGCTCCCCAGCGACTCTAGCGGTGATAAAACTTGAGAAATAACAAGGAGGGGCTGCTCCGCGTCTTCTGAGTCCAATCCCATTGAGGGATCAAACACGTTCCTGGCAGGCAGCTCGAAAGAAGCCAAGGAGACTTACAAACGAGCGGCAGCCAGGAAAGCACCTCCCGCGCCGCTGCAGCTCTAGGGGCTCTATCTCCCGACCAACGCCCGCGTTCTGCTTCCCCATTCAGGCGCCCCGATGGCCACCGTCGAGCCCTGGAGCTCCCAGTACGGAGCCCTCTATAGGCACCTACTGCTGACTCTCTTGGTAAGTGGGAGTCTGGGATGAAGAAGGCAGGATTAGTTCTCCCTGGACGCTGCTCAGGGACCTGAAGAGTTGAAGCCGCAAGGCTCTTCAAGGTGATCTCCGTGGCTCAGCTTAATCCTGCGGTGTTTGATCCTGGATCAGTGAGGAACCTTTGAAGAGTGACTAGGTTAACTTTTGTTGTTGTTTGGAACACCGCGTTCAGTGAATTACTTGCTTCACCTTTCTGTTGCTGTGTCTTGGAGGGTGGATAAGGGAGTTGGGATTTATGTTCCTCATGAATATACTCCTCAACCCGGAAGTTTGTGTGGAAAGGGAGCAAGCGTATTTGTTGGTCTGTTGTTTCAGGAACCCTAAACAGGGAAAGGAGTCCTGGTGTGGCGCTGTAGACTGCAAAGCCGTTTGAACTGCAAGGTTGGTGGTTCAAGCTCACCAGCGTCTCTTTGGAAACCCTATACAGGGTCGCTATGGGTAGGAACCGACTCGACAGCATTTAACAACAACAACAATCAGGGAAAGGGGGACTTTGAAAGTTGGGCTGCCGACTCAGGTCAACAGTTGGAATCTACCAGCGTTCCCTGGGAGAAAGGCTTTCTGCTCCCCTAAAGATTTACAGAAATAGAAACCCTGTACTCGCTAGGAGTCAACCTATTCTACAAGACATAACTACTACCACCACCAAGCTGGGGTGGAGGGATGGGGATGGGGAACGCTGTGGTTCTGTAGAATAAGCAATGGACTGTTAACCAGTAGGTTTTACAATTCACCAGCTGCTTTTGCAGGAGAAAGTTGCTGTTCCTGTAAAGATTTACAGCCTGAGAAAATCCTATACAGGGTCTCTATGAGTTGGAACAGACTCCATCTCACTTGAGCTAAGAACAAGGGGGTGGCAGCATGGACATGAAGATTACTACCCCCATCTGGTACCCTCTCCAGGTATCTGTCTGGCTTAGGGTAGCATTATTGAGAGGAGGGGCCCCTCTGGGTCTTGGCGTGGGAAACAGGCTTCCCTGCTTTGGCTTCCCAACTCTTTCCAACCACACATCCCGCCAGACAGGTTGTTGGTGGAGTGAGCCTGGGATGTGGGAGTGCAGGAGGGCTAGGATCCTGTTAGGATTGAGGTTGTACTAAAATGAAAGGGCCACTGTGTGGTGTGGTGAGGAATGGTGTGAGTTTGGGAGATTCGTGTGAGATCCCAAACCCCACCCTGGGGCCAGTGGTGAGGTCGCTGTGGAAATTAGGGACAGTGTTCCCAGAACACAGGAAACATGAAGTGGAAAATAGGAACCCATATGTGGCACTGAGTGTGATTCTTGAGGTTCAATCAGAGTTGCTCACCAGGGTTGTGGGAAGGACCTATGGATGCATACTTCTCCTCACCTATGATGGGCATAGGTGAGTCTGGTGAGCAAGAAGACACTTCCAATTCAGAGGAAGGGTCAACCCCGCTGTTCGGATTCCTGCCGGTGCTCCCCCTTCCCCAACAGAATGAGTTGGGTTCACACCTTGTGGTCCTTTTGAATCAGCGAGTTAAGTACTTTGGGTTTGTAGTTATGGTCCAAGATCTATTGACTGACCAGGAATTATACAAATAACCATGTCGACCTGCCAAACCACTGCTCCCACAAAATACCTGAGCTGATGAAATGACTCTTTACACATGGGAACTACTCTTAAAACACCATCCTTTTTTGATATGTATATAGGAAAGCATATGCTTGGTGTTTTGTGTTTACCCTGTGGAAATGGAAAAGGGAATGGGGAGAAGAAACTGGGGAAGTATAGTATTCCCGAGATTTCCCTCATTCGCTCCAGGGGAGGGCATGGAAGACAAGGTGTTGTCCTAGTTTAACGGATGGGGGAAGGGGAGTAGTGTTGAGGTGTAAACAGACAAGAAGGTGCATGCAAATCTAAATAGAGATAGCATCAAATTCAGTTTAAGACAAATGAGTTTAGGATTTTAAGTATTTCATAAGGTTTAGATTAAATGGTTTATCTGTGGAGACTTGAATCTATAAAAAAGTAATTTAATTTATCTCCAACCTGCAATTTACAAATATTTTTACTTTCTGTTCAGATGACTAAATTTATTGAAGACAGTGGGTTTGGTTAGTGTACTGACCATTCCATGTCTCTATTTCTTTTTGACTCATATGAGTCTCAGCTTTCCAATATAAGATTAATGGCATAGCATTTAGAGACACACCTTCATTTTATAGAGACTTTAATGGATCTCTCTAAAACAGTAGCTTGTTCTAAGAAGCAAGCTCTTCAAAGCAAGGCTTTAAAGACTTATAACATGTTAGCCTTCTGACTGAGCTATACCATGGTGGTGGTGGCAGTTGTGTGTCATTGAGTTGTTCAGACTCACAGCAGCCCTGGATAGGGTTTCTGAGGAGCGGCTGATGGGTTTGAACTGCTGACCTTGTGGTTTGCAGTCCAATACTTATCCATGTGGATGTAGCAAATTGTTAAACACTCTGACTACCAATCTAAAGATTGACAGGTTGAACCCACCCAGAGTAATGTTGGAGCTCTGGTGTGGCATTGTGGGATAAAGCATAGGACTGCAAGTTTAGTTTAAGCCACAAGGTCAGTGGGTCAAACTCAACAGTGGCTCCTTGGAAACCCAATACAGGGTAGTTATAAGTCAGAACCAACTCCAGGGCACTTAACAACAACAACAGAGGAAGGCTGGAAAGCAGGCCTGGCAACCTCCTTCCAAAAAGCCACAACATTGAAAACTCTATAGAAAAGGGTTTTCCTACACACATTTTGTTGCTGTGTGTCATCTAGTCTAGTCGGTCCGAGTCATAGTGACATTGTATAGGGTTTCCGAGGAGCGGCTGGTGAGTTTGAGCCACAACCTTGCAGTTCAACCTTAAGGTTGAGTGCTTATCCTATGACACCACACCAGGACTCCTCTACACACACAGGGTCACCATAAGATGAAATGAATGGAATGGCACTGAAAAACAACCTTGTGACTACCTGAAAACTTTATTCTTAACAATATTGGTATATTGATCCTTTTAAAGTAAAAAGGAATACAATAATTAAAATAAATTATTTTAAAAGTTCAAGGCAAATAAGAAAAACTGAATGAGAACTAGTTTTATTATTAAATCATTCTCTAAAGGAAGTCAAAGTGTTGGTATGTATTTAGATTTGTCTGCTATACTAACTACCTTTTTTCAAAGGAAGCTGTTGGTGATACCGAAATATTGCTAGATCCTGAAGTGTCTTCTGAACCTTGAACTAAATGCAAGCCTGTGCACATTTTTTATTCTATTTTAATTGTGTTGGCAGTTGGCATTCCATATATGGTATCTATATTGTCTGGTGGTTAGTCATGCTTTTCATTTCATGAGACTGTGTCAACAATTTTGATTAGAAGGAACTTTTTTATGAATTATGTATGTGTAAAAAAATAAAGAAAAGTAAATCATAAAATTTACCTTTGAGGCAGTAAGAGTTTGAAAGATAATATTTCCAGTTAGTGGAAGGCAATGATCATAGGAGAAAAGTTTGTAATTCTTTAACTATTGTGCTAAGTCAAGTAAAGTCCTGTTTATTTTTAGATCCTCCATGGCTTTCTACTCTGTAGTCTCTTTTAACTTTTTTTTTTTAAAAAAAGACTGTCATTTTAGAAAGCTTACTTTATATATTTGGATTCACTATGTGGTCCAAATGGTTAACATGCTCGTTGCTAAGCCCACAGGTTGGCAGATTGAATCCACCCAGAGGCACCTTGAAGAAAGGTCTGGCAATCTCACTTCCAAAATTCTGTCACTGAAAATGTTATAGAGCCTAGTTCTGCTCTGATACAAATGGAGTCAACATAAATTAAATTGACTGAATGGCACCTGGTGGTGGTGTCCTGGTGTGGTACTACAGGTTAATGCATTGGACTGCAAAGTCCGTTTGACTTCAAGGTTGGTGGTTCAAGTTCACTAGTCATTTCTTGGAAACCCTATACAGGGCTGCTCTGGGTTGGAGCCAGCTCAATGGCACTTAACAACAACAACAAGTGTTGGTGTCATCCACCAACTAACTGATCTGTTAGTTTGTCATATTGGAGTGGTTTGCATGTTGCTGTGATTCTGGAAGCTATGCCACTGGTATTTTAAATACCAGCAGGATCACCCATGGTGGACAGGTTTCAGATAAGTTTCCAGAAGAAGGCAGACTAGGAAGAAGGAGAGACAAACTACTTCTAGGTTTGAATAGCAGGGGAACGCTGTCAGATAGCACCAGAATAGTGAATACTGAAGCACGAGGAAGAGTGCCAGAAAATTGTCAGATATAGTGCCAGAAAAAGAAGTCATTCAACAAATGACTAGGAAAGAGTTGCATTCTCAAAGTAGAGTTGCCTCTGATGACACAAATGGAGTAAAGCTTTCGGGACCTTCATTTGCTGATGGGGCACAGTTCAAAATGAGGAGAAACAGCTATAAACATCCATTAGTAATCAGAATGTGGAATGTATGAAGCATGAATCTAGGAAAGTTGGAAGTTATAAAAAATGAAATAGAGTGCATAAACATCAATATTAGTGAGCTGAAATGGAGTGGTATTGATCATTTTGAATCTGATAACCACATGGCTTACTATGCTAGGAATGATAAATTGAAGAGGAATGGTGTCACATTCATCATGCAAAAGAACATTTCAAGTTCTATCTTGTAGTACAGCTCTGTCTGTGATAGGTAGGATATCCATACACCTACAAGGAAGACCAGTGAATACAATTATATTTAAATTTATGCACAAATCACTAAAGCAAGTGATGATGAACATGAAGAATTCTATCAAATGGCACAGTAAGATCAGCAATGGACTGAATCACAGGACTGTGGTTCAAACCTATCACATACTCCTCAGAAACCCTATACATGGTTGCTATGAATTAGAATAAACTCAATGGCATTCAACAACAACAGCAACAAATTCTTCAGTCTAAAATTGACCAAACATGCAATCAAGATGTATTGATAATTACTAGTGATTGTAATGCAAAGGTTGAAAATAAAGAGGAAGAATAAGTCATTGAAAAATATGGACTTTGGTGATAGAAATGGTGTTGGAGATCACCAAAAAACACCATTTTAAAACAAAATAAAAGATGACAATACACATGGATCTCACCAGATAAAGTACACAGAAATCAAATTGTCTATATTTGTGGAAAGAGACAATGGAAAAGCTCCTTATCATCAGCCAAAATAAAGCCAGGGGCAGACTGTAGAACAGACCATCATTTGCTCATATGCAAGTTCAGGTTGAAGCTGAAGAAAATTAAAACAATCTATGAGAGCCATAATGTGACCTTGAACATATACCACCTGAATATAGAGATCATCTCAAGAGCAGATTTGATGAATTAGACACTAATGACCAGAGACTAGAAGAGTTTTGGAATGACATAAGGAGCATCATTTAGAGGAAGAAACTAAAAAGTCATTAAGAAGACAAGAAAGAAGAAAAAGACAAAAACAGATATCAGAAGAGACTCTGAAACATACTCTCCAACATAGAGATGCTGAAGTAAATGGAAGAAATGAGGAAGTCAAAGGGCTGAACAGAAAATTTCAAAAGGCAGCTCAAGAAGACAGAGTCAAATATTATAATGAAATGTGCAAAGATCTTGGATTAGAAAACTAAAAGGGAAGAACGCTCTCAGCATTTCTCAAGCTGAGGGAACTGAAGAAAATATTGAAAGCTTGATTTGCAGTAATGAAGGATTCTATGGGCAAAATATTGATTGATGCAGAAAACATCAAAAGAAGGTGGAAGGAGTGTACAGTTACTTTGCCAAAAGAAATGGTCCATGTTCAACCATTGCAAGAGGTAGCATATGATCAAGAACAATGATACTGAAATAAGAAGCCCAAGATCCACGAAAGGGATTAACAAAGAACAGGGCACCTGGAATAGATAGAATACAAATAGACATCTTTTAACAAACTGGTGCAACCATAGGGACACTCACTCATCTATGCCAAAAAATTTGGATGACAACTACCTGGCCAACTGATTTGTGCCCATTCTATAGAGAGGTGTCCCAACAGAATGCTGAAATCATAATACAATATCATTAAAATTTCATGCAAGTAAAATTTTGCTAAAACTAATTTTAAAAATGGCTGCAATGGTACCCTGTCAGAGGTTCAAGCTGGATTCAGTCAAATCTGTGGAACGAGGGATATCATTTTTAAAGTCAGATGGATCTTGGCTGAAAGCAGAGAATACCATTAAGATATTTACTTTGCTTTATTGGCTATGCAAAGACTTTTGATTGTGTGGGTCATGATAAGCTATGGACAACATGGCGGAGAATGACATTCTGGAACACCTAATTGTGCTCATGAAGAACCTGTACATCAACCAAGAGGCAGTTGCTTGAACAGAACAAGGGAACACTGAATGGTTTAAAATTCGGAAAGTTGTGCGCCAGGGTTGTATTATTTCACGATACTTATTCATTCTATATGTTGAACATATAATTTGAAAAACCGGGTTATATGAAGAAACATATGGCATCAGGATTGGAGAAGACCCATTAACAACCCATGATATGCAGATGATACAACCTTGCTTGCTGAAAGTGAACATGACTTAAAATACTTACTGATGAAGATCAAAGCCTTTGGAATGGGTTGCACCCCAATGCAAAGAAAATAATTAACACCAAGGTAAATGGAGAAAAGAGTGAAGTTGTCAAAGACTTAATTTTGCTTGGATTAACCAATACTGGTGAAAATATAGTCAAAAAATCCAGTGAATTATTGAGTTATGCAAATCTACTGCACAAGGCCTCTTTAATATGGTCAAGAGCATAAATGTCAGTTTGAGAACTAAGGTGTGCCTGACTCAAAGTCATGATATTTTTAATAGCCTCATATGAATGTGAAAGTAGGACAAAAATAGAGAATATCATAGAAGAATTGATGCATTTGAGTTATGATATTGGAGGAGAGTAATAAAAGTACCATAAACTGCCAAAAGAACAAACAGATCTGTACTGGAGGAAGTCCAGCCAGAATGTTCCTTAGAAGCCAGGATGGCCAGACTTGCCTCTCATACTTGGGACATATTACTTAGTGGGACCAGTCCCTGAAGCAGGACATCGTGCTTGGTAAAGCAGATGATCAGCAAAAAAGAGGAAGACCCCCAAATGAGATGGATTGGTACAGTGGCCACAGCAATAGACTCAAGTGTAACAATGGTTGTGAGAATGAAACAGGACAATGTTTCATTCTGTTGTGCATAATGTCACTATGAGTAGGTACCGACAGGATGGCACCTAGCAACAACAAGTGGTGGTATCTCAGGACATTTCCCTCAATTAAAGGTACTTTCTCTCCTATGGATGAATAACAGAGCAAGAGAAAGGCTTATCACTAAAGTAGGGTGTTTATTAGTAGCAGTGAAAGTGCCTTGACAAGAGGAGACCTGGTGTAGTTTGATGTAACGTGACACATGTGCTGCTTGAGCAAGTTTTAACCAGAATGGTTAAATTTTAAATTTTGATAATGAGAGAAATGGTGGAACAAAGAAACTAAGCAGTTCTTTTCGGGTATTGTCCAGTTGGAAGAAGTTATGGCAAGTGGATGTGTGCGCAACCTATTTGCAAGACGGATTGTGTTGTAAAGGTTTCTGAAGTGTTGACCATCACTCATTATGGGAAGCTTATATCTTAGTCAGGGTTGATGTTTTTTATTTCATTTTCTTGTTTAATTGTCTTACTAGAAACCTTAGTGCAGTGTTGTATAAAATGGGTGAAAAGAGATTTCATTCTTTTCTTCCTTATTTTAGGGGAGAAAATTTGGTCTTTTTCCATCAAGTATGCTATTTAGGTTTTTCATAGATGTCCTTTATCATGTTGTACAAATTCTATGCCTCATTAGTTAAGTTTTGTTTTTTAAATAGTAAATGAATTTGGGATTTTGTCAATGCCCTTTGAACTTATTGAGGATCAAAGTGTTTTATTTTTGTTGCTGTTGTTATTCTTTTTCTTTACTTTATAAGTAATGCATTCTTTCTATTCTAGGTCTTCAGTTTTACTTGTGAAGCCTGCAAAAATATTATACTTAATGTACCTTCTACTCTAGAGGCAGATAAAATGATCGGCAGAGGTGAGACATTCCAAAACAATGTTTTAAGAATAGATATTTAGTTCATCTAGACTGGAAAGAGAGTTTGGCATCCAACCCTTGCTTTTTCAGACTTAGCCTGAATCTACTTATAAATTTGTAAAAGCAAGTTAAGATATTAAAAAAAAATCCTTTTGTTCTTTATAACCCCATTGAATCCTATAGTTTATTGTAGTGTAAATATTATAATGCACATTTTTATAGTCATTTGCATTTTATATTTAGAAATAGACCATATGTTAACATTTTCCCCCAAATGTGAAAATGAAAGGAATATGTCACTCCTAAAGATGTTCACTTCTTTTTGGCTAATTGTTTCTACCTATGACAGATTTGTGTTAAAATTAAAATGTTATACTTGGAGCTTCAAAAAGTTTGTGGAAAAATTCAATTATTTTAATTCAATTTTTCTAAGAACATTGTGAAGCCCCCTCGCAAATGGGCAGCATACTTACTTAAGTGGGTATACTGACTTCTCACCTATTGACTTGAGTGGGTCCCAAAGACCAGGCCATTATGGGAACATTGGTGTTATGTAAAAATGGAGGATGCCTACATTATTGCGTAACTGCCAAACCCTGGAGAATCATGGTCTAGACAAGTTGAGGCATAACCTTAATTAGACTATTACAGTCAGTGTTAGTCTCACCTTGTCCCTCAGTGTTTGTTACTGCTGACATATATTGTTAATGCACAAATAATTGGATAGTAGATTTTTGCTATTGTCAATGTAAGATGTCAGGTAATGAGAAAGGCAATAATTGAGGAGTAGATGTATTCATTTATCAGTTTGTTTTTGTTAAGGCAAATCAAATTATTCGTGGAATAATGGGATGGAAAATAGGAACATTGTAATGCCTTTCCATTACTACCTGTAGCATATTGCTGTTGTTGTAAAAGTGTTGTTGGGTTGATTCTGACTCCTTAGCAACTCTGAGTATAGGGTTTCCCAGGAACAGTTGATGAATTTGAATGCCCAACCATTTCTTTAGCAGTCCAGTGCTTCAGCTCCACTCCAGGACACCTTTTACTAGAGGGCACATTCAAAGGGCCAGAAGTTCAGGGTGGAGACTTAGAAATCTGGGACCCCAGAGAGAACTGTGAATTCTTAGGGTAAAAGTATACAGAAAAATGTCTCTTTTTCATGACACCAAGGAGGTCATTGGCTGCTTCACCTTGAAGTTGAACATCTCCTTCCCAGCCACTGGCTGCCAAAAACTCATTGAAGTGGATGATGAACTCAAGCTTTGTACCTTTTATGAGAAACGAATGGCCACAGAAGTTGCTGCTGACTCGCTGGTTGACGAGTGGCAGGGATATGTTGTCCACATCAGTGGTGGGAACGACAAACAGGGTTTTCTCATGAGGAGGGGCGTCTTGACCCATGGCTGTGTCCGCCTGCTTCTGAGTAAGGGGCATTCCTCTTATAGACCAAGGAGAACTGGAGAAGGAAAGGGCAAATCTGTCTGGGATTGCATTGTGGATACCAACTTGAGTGTTCTCAACATGGTTATTGTAAACAAAGGAGAGAAAGCTATCCCAGGACTGACAAATACAGCTGTGCCTCATCACCTGGGGCCCCAAGAGAGCTAGCAGAATCTGCAAACTTTTCAATCTCTCTAAAGAAGATGAAGTCCGCCAGTATATTGTTAGAAAGCCACTAAACAAAGAAGGCAAGAAACCTAGGACAGAAGCGCCCAAGATTTCAGCGTCTTATTACTCCACGTGTCCTGCAACACAAACGTCGGCGTATTGCTCTGAAGAAACAACGCACTAAGAAAAATAAGGAGGAGGCTGCAGAATATGCCAAGTTTTTGGCCAAGAGGATGAAGGAGGCCAAAGAAAAACTACAGGAACAGATTGCCAAGAGACAGAGGCTGTCCTCACTGAGAGCTTCTACCTCCAAGTCGGAATCCAGTCAAAAATAAGAAATTTCTATGTGTGACAAATAAAAACACTCATATTAAATCTTAAAAAAAAAAAAAAGTATACAGAAAAATGTCAGTGGGTCTTCAAAGATAGACTTTCCTTACTTCACTGTTTTGTATAGCTCACACACTAGATTTTTCTTTGGGTTTATGTGTATAACTTCAAAGGATCTGGCTGAATGATGGGTGTATTTTAGAAGATGTAGATAGTATTGTTAAGGAAAGTTTTCTGTTTTTTTATTCAGGTTGGGGTGTGAAAGCTCTACTCTGGCACAATAGCAATGTATACATCTCATTAATAGGAATATCATTTTCATAAACCCAGAAGCATATCAGTGTTTAAACACCTTAATTAACACCATACAATCAAGAAACCCTGATAACATAGTGGGTTACCCTTTGGACTCCTAACTGCGAGGTCAGCATTTCAAATACACAAACCGCTTGGCTGAAGATGTAGCTTTTTGCTTCAATAAAGATGTATAGCCTTGAAAACTCTAGACAGGAACCATCTCAATGGCATATAACAAAAACAACATACAATTCAGAATTATTTTTTAAGTGGTGGAATTTTTTTTTTTTTTTTTTTTTCAAAAATGTAAAAGGAATGGGTAGGTGTTTGGCAAGTGAAAAGTGTTTACGTATTTCATTGAACTTCATGGTTTTGAAGAAGACTGCACAAATTATTTTTAATACATTGTGTGTGTAAGTGAGTAAGTGTGTATTTCTATTTTATAACTTTGATCTTTTTATTTGCAGTCAATTTGAAAAAGTGCCTCAAATCTGCAGATATCATCAGTTCAAGTGACCCTGATTTTCGCGTTTTGGGTGATGGGTCCATATTCACAACCAAGGCTATTGTCCTCTCTGATGAGAAAAAATCATTCACCGTATTGCTTTCTGACACGAAGAAACAGAAACAGAAGGGCATTACTGTGCTCCTGAAACATCAGAAGGTACTCAAAGTACATTAATAATTTGATATTTTGATAAAAGATTGTTTTCTTTTTACATCACCTGTTTCGTTAGAATTTGCAAAGAGGATCAAAGATTTCACAGGGTCTTTTATGCTTCTTTTCCTTCCTTCCTGCCTCCCTGCCTTCTTCTTATTTAAAATTAAAAACAAGACAACAATAGTAATTGGTTAGATACTGAACTTTGAGCTTTGCTTTGTTAAATCTAAATGACCCTTCCTCTGTGAAGGTTTGGCCCCCTGCTCCAGCCTAATTTTTGACTTTGTGTGCCAGTGGCAGTTTGATTACCCCACTATTATAGCATTTAGAATTGTTTATTCATGCAAACAATTTAGCTGTAGTTTCCTGAAGACATTCATTGATCTCATTTGTGTTTATAACCTTTGGAGTAAGGCCTAATACCAGACTCAGAGTCAGTAGTTGTGTGTTGAATTAATAATAGAACAGTGGTCTCTAGTAAATAAGAAGTTGATTTCAAATGGTACAATCGTTCTGATTTAAAATAGAATGCAAATACTAGGAGATATGTAAGATAGAGTATCTGTGGCATTGAGCGCCAATCAATCAGAGGATTCTTGACTGCAGTTCTAGATTCCACATCATCACGAATGCCAATTTGAAAGCACTCACAAAAGTGACAAAAGGTTTAGATTTAGCAGGAAGCCCAATATAATTTTCAGCAATGAAGCTGTGTTCTATAATCTGCATCACATGTGGTAAGTGCAATTGAAAAGCATAATTTAAAAAAAATTGTTACTATAAGTAGTTGTTACTATAAGTACTTTAAGGAGCTCTGGTAGTGTAGTGGTTACGAATAGGGCTGTGAACTTTAAGGTCAGCAGTTCGAAACTACCAGCCGCTCCGCAGGAGAAAGATGAGGCTTTCTGCTCCCGTAATGATTTGCAGCCTCGGAAACCCTGTACAGGGTCGCTATGGGTCGGAACCGACTCGACGACACTTAACAACAACAACAACAAGAAGTTTCATTTAGGGGGTTCCTGAGGCCTGGCGTCCTTGGAGGTGTTAGGTTTATAGGTTTTTTTACTGTTATGCAACAAGGTAGACTATGGCATTTTTGTTTGTTTATGTTTTAAATTTCTCTAAATTTAGGTTCTAACGAAAAGGCATACCAAAGAGACTGTCCTCCGGCGTGCCAAAAGGAGATGGGCACCTATTCCGTGTTCAATGCAGGAGAATTCCTTGGGTCCTTTCCCGTTGCTTCTTCAACAAGTAGGTTTCACATTTTTTTCTGATTAGAAGTGTTTTAAGTTCAAGAATCTGTTTTGTTCAGGCTTTAAACATTTAAAAATAAACAGATCATACTAAAGAGGATTATAAAATATTACAAAAGTGGATAAAAAATAACTAAACTATAATAACTAAACTATAATAATACGAGAATGGTGTTGCAGCAAGATAGGGATTGTTGTTAAGTTCTTACTACTAGTGACCCTGTATAGAGTTTCCTTTGTAAGAGCAGAAAGCCTCATCTTTCTCCTGCAGAGCAGCTGGTGAGCATGAACTATTGTCCTTGTGGTTCTTAGTCTATTGATTATCCTACAGAGCCACTGTGCTCCCACAGTAGGGATGGTTGTTTGTCGTTAAGTGCCATCTAGTCGGTTCTGACTCATAGCCACCCTGTTCAGGGCTTCTGAGGGGTGGCTGGTGGCTTTGAACCACCAACCAACACAACATCAATGCTGTGGTTAGCAGTCCAGTGCTTATCCTAGAGTGCCACACCAGGACTGGATAGAGACTGTTGTTGTTTGTTGTTATGTGCCCTCAAGTGAGTTCTGATTTATTGCAGCCCCTTTATAGGGTTTCCAAAGAGTGACTGGTGGGTTTGAACCTCCAACCTAATGGTTATCAGTCCAGTGTTGATTCTACAGCACCACAACAGAACTCCAGATAGGCATTGTTGTTGTTTTTAGGTGCCATTGAGTCACTACTGACTCATAGTGACCCTATACACAACACGATGAAACACTGCCCGGTGTTGGGCCAACCTCATAATTGTTGCCACTCTTTGAGCCCACTGATGCTGCCACTTTGCCAATCCATCTTGCTGGGGGTCTTCCTCTTTTTCTCTGACCCTTCACCTTACCAAACATGATATCCTCCTCCAGCGACTGGTCCCTCCTTACATGTCTGAAGTATGAGAGATGAAGTTTGGCCATCCTGGCCTCCAAGGAGCACTCTGGTGTTGTATGTACTTTTTCCAACACAGAAGGAGGAAGAAGGAGAGATGAACTACTTCCAAATATTTAGTCACTGAAAGCATTATGAATAACAGAGATAAGCATTAAAGAAAAATTATCTGAAGTGGATTCTAAAAGATGGGAATATTTATAAGTAAATAATTGTATAAGGTTTAGGAAAGCGGAGGTGGGCTAGGACTTGCCTTCTTAGCAGAATTCTGGGTATCTTATTATTCCTGGGTGTGATGGGTTGAAGAGTCCTTGGATGTTGCAAATTGTTAAGCACTGGACTATTAGAATGTTGGTGGTTTGATTGTATCTTGAAACAAAGGCCTGGTAATCTGTTTGTGTATGGTCACTGCCATGAAAATCATATGGAACTCTGATGCAAACTTCATATGTTGAAATAGATTTTTTTGTTGTTATTGTTGGGGAATGGGTGTACGATGGGAACTGAGCAGGAAGATGAAACAGAAGAGTAGGAACCAAACCCTAAAAGACTTTGTATGCTGTGCTGGGAAGTTTAAATTTATACTAAAAGTAAGGAGAAATTTTTAAGCAAGAATTACCCTGATTAGGTTTATGTTTGATCAAGATTTAAATGAATGTATAGAGTCCTGATGTGGTGCTGTGGGATAAGCACTTGAAACAATGTTAGTTTGAGCCACAAGGTCAGCAGTTCAAACTCACCAGTTGCGTCTCAGCAACCCTATGCAGGGTCACTATGAGTTGGAACCGACTTGATGGCACTTAACAACAACAACAACAATAGCAACAAATGAATGCCTGGAGTCAACACGAGTCAGGAGCCACCTCAATAGTGCTAACAACAAACAACAAAAGTAACCATTTCTAGCAACGAGAGTTACTGAAGTAAGCTTGTAGCATTCTGCTTTCCTTTCCCGTTTAAATGCCCGTTACTGTGGTTGGTGTTTAATACTGATGGTGTGACCTGTATGTTCCTTGTTTAAATTCTTAACCACCTATTTGATGTCTTTCACACTTATTTTTATTCTATCCAGTGCTGTACACTTGTTTCTATTCTTCATGAATATTGTACTTTAAAACACTGAAGCATACTAAAAAAATTGATTTCTGATTACCGAAGTTATACTTTTCATAGTTGGGAGGGTAAGTCAAAAAGTACTGCTATAACATCATAGAAACCTTTATTAAACAAAATATCAAACTGTGAAGCTATTGCTTCTTGACATAGCTTCCATCTAAGTCTATAACTTCTGATGGTGGTGCTACCATCTCTCTAACCCTCCACCAAATAAATCTGTGCTCTTCAACTTGTGCTATGTCAAAATGACAGTTGTCATCTTTCAGGGACTCAAATTGTGTTCCTTTTAAATATCCTGTGAGTTTAGGGAACAAAAAGAAGTTTAACAGGGTAATATCAGAGTTATAGCATGGATGGGGTAAGATTTCCCAATGAAATTCTCATAGAACATCCCTTGGCACTCTCTAAGAATGAGCAAGTGTATTTTTGATGAAAAAAAAAAAATTCCTTGATGTAACTTTCCTGTCCTCTGTCTCTCTGATGCAGTTTTTAATTTTCTTAGAACTTCTTCCTAACAAGTCCTTGTGATCATTCTGTGTCCTTTGAGGCCATCCAACAACTACTGTTGTTGTTAAGTGCCATTGACTCTGTATAGGGTTTCCAAGGAGCAGTTGGTGACCTTGAACTGCTGACCTTGTGCTTCAAACTGACCTTTAAGTCCAGCATATTAATCCCCAGCGCCATACCAGGATGCCATCTATTACGATTACTCCTTTGAAATCCCCCAAAAACTGTTCACCGTAACCTTCTGTGCTGAGCTCTTTGTCTGGAATAAAACTGGCCCAGCCGATCCCTTTGGAAGCCACAGTTGTTTTGTTTTTGGATCTTTTTGTGAAGGCTCTGTAATGAGACTAAGACAAATGTATTACTGATAGAACTTGTCTGCAGCCATTTGCTGATCATAGACACATTTTGTTTGGAATAAACAAATGCATGTATGAATTAGAACCCTAGTAGCGGTACTTTTTGACTTATCCTAGTACATTAACCTTGCTTGCTAATTTACCACTTTCCATTTTTTCAGTCCTCATCTCCTTGATGTATACAGATTTGACAGATTTGATTTCTCCTCTTCCTTGAATACATTCTTATTTGATGTCTACAACACCACTCACCTAATTACCTAATTTTCCTCATGGCTCACAGACCACATTTCTTCAAAAGAATTCATCTCTTGATTCTTTGGCCCTAAAATCATCCTACCCTTCCTAATTAATGGCAGCTCCATCATTCTAGATGTTTGAACCTTGAGGTCTGTTTGGTTAGGTTTTAGTTATAAAGAGTTTAACTATAAATACAGTAAAACCTGTGAAAACTAGAAACTGCACAATGTTGAACCCTTCAGAGATGGAAACCTCAAATATTTTCCACTGAAATAACCAATATGAAGTTGTTGTTGTTGTTAAGTACCGTCGAATCGGTTCTGAACCATAGCGACCATGTATAGGGTTTCCAAGGAGAGTCTGGTGAACTTGAACCACTGACCTTTGAGTTCAAACCAACTTTGCAGTCCAGCGCATTAGCCCACAGTGCCACACCAGGATGCCCAATGAAGTGGTAAGACTAGAAAATTTATGTGACTCAAGAAACAAGGAAGTCCAGTCCCATTGAGTTCCAGCTCTCACAGGTTTCACTTTAGTTAAAAGCAGGTATACAAATTTATTGGGAGTGCTGAAAAAATAAACTTTCAGTGCTCCCAATAAATCTGTCCTAAATAAATTTTCAGGTTGAATTTTCAGGACTGAATGACCAACTTATACCATAGAACCAGCTCCAAAAGCCTACTGTTCTTTTCATGGTGGGAAGGCCAGTAGTTCTAAAATCAAAACATCACTTCTGCCACCAAGAAACAACACAATCAGGTAGCTGCTCCTATGAATGTAGCTCCAGACCAAGGTCTTAACTGCTCCAATCAGTGTCTGCAAGATTGGCCTGTACTCTATTTCTGAATCCTCACTAAGTTAGTGACAACTAATGGTGATGGGTGGTGGTGGTGTGCCACAGAGTTGGTTCCGACTCACAGCGACCCTGTATTGAGTTTCAGAGGCTATAAATCTTTACGTGAGCAGAAAGCTTCATCCTTCTTCCATGGAACAGCTGATAGTTTCAAACTGCTGACCTTGAGGTTAGCAGCCTGACTTGTAAACTCTACACTCCCTGAGCTCCTTAGTGATAACTACTTTTTGTTATTAAGTTTGTTGAGTCAGTTCTGACTCACAGTTATCCTGTATGGAGTTTCTGAGGTGTGGCTGGTGAGTTTGAACCACCGACATTGTGGTTTAAATAGACCTTGGATCTAGCACATTATCCCACACTGCCACTTCACTACTAGAGCTTTGCTAATGCTGCTGCGGAAAATAAATAAATAAAATAAATAAAAAATAAACAAATACACTTAAATGTAATGTCAACAAAATAAATGCAAATGCAGCAGAAATGAGAAAGCTGCCTCATTATTTTTCCACATATCATGCAAGTGCATCGGATTTGCCATATCTGAAACCAGAATTCTAGTTTCAAGAGTTTCTGGGGTGTTTTGTTTGTTTGGTTTTGTCTTAACCTTTCTCACATCCTCTCTATAAGAAGGCACAGTAGAAGGAAGATAAAAGAGATACTGAGCCTGACTCTACCATCTCCATCCATTCCTACCACAGTTTAACTCTTGCTATCTATATTATTATATTAGTAATCTTTTACTGAGATCATAAATAACAATAGCTTAAACATGTAAAAATCTGAGCTGGTAAAGAGAAATTTGAGATAGAAAATTGAAGAAAACTACAGGGACCCAGACTTTTTTATTTTATTTTTTAATTTCACCATCCTCAAACTGGTTTAAGATGATTCATTACTGTGTCCAAAAGAAACCACACCTTTTCTCCCCTAAGGCACAGTCTAGATCTGGCACATATTATGTTTGTTCATATCTCACAGAACTAAATATTTCAAGTTGCCATACCTAATTGTAAGCAAGGCTTAGAAATGTCTTTGAATAAACTGTGTCAAATATAAATTCTTATGAAATGTGAAGAAAAGCTATTAGGGGGTACTAACACTGTCTCCTGGTGTGGTGCTGTAGGATAAATACTGAACTGCTAACCACAAGATCAGCAGTTCAAATCGACCAGCTACTCCATGGGAGAAAGATGAGGCTTTCTGCTCCCATAAAGATTTATAGTCTCAGAAACATATACAGGGTCGCTATGAGTCGGAACTAGCTCAATGCCATTTAACCATCACCACAATGAAACAGTTAGTGGTTCAAACCCATCAGCTGCTCCTTGGAAACCCTGTACAGGGTTGCTATGAGTCAGAACTGACTCAAGGACACTGACCACCAACAGTAACACTGTGTGTCATGGTAAACCTTGATTTTCCTTTTTACAACACACAGTCGACCCAGTGCCAATCCCTTAGCTCTATCTTCAAATTATATTCTACATCTGACCACTCTACACCACCTCTACTGTGATCACTCTTGTCTAACAAACCATCACTTCTTCTTAGATTTCTCAGTAACCATCTAAATGATGTCTCTGCTTTCCCTTTACTAATCTACTCAAGTCTATTCTTAGGAAAGCATATCTGATCAAAATGTAAATCAGATTATGTCTAAACCTTCCTATTATTTCCAATCTGATTCCAAGGAAAATGTAACCTTTGGAATTGTATTTCTCGCAGTCAAATCCAAGATGTGGTCCCTATCACCCCAGTACCTCTCCATTCCCTACATCTTTTCCCCTTGCTTACTCTGCTCCAATCAATTTGGCCTTCCTGCTTCTTAAACACTCCAAGTATTCCTTTAGCTTGACTCGTTTGTATTTCCTGGCTTCTCTGCCAAGAAGAGTCTTCCCTTATTTATATTCATAGCTCACTCTTATTATTTTTTGTTAACTCCTTTATGTAATGTACATTACAGTTGGCATTATCTTCAATTGTACATGAGACTTTGTTTGCCTCACCCTTGCCAACAATGGGAATTATTGTTCTCTCTCTCTCTCTTGTTTTTTTTTTTTTTAACTTTGTCAAATTAATAGCTGGGAAAGTATGCTGTATTGTTTTAAATTAGGATTTTTTTAAAATTACAATTTATACTGAACATTGTTTTAAAATTTCTTTTGCCAAATGCCTGTTACTGATTTTTACCCCGTTTTCTATTTGTATGCTGGTGAAATTGTAAGTTTATTGAAATCATGCCTTTAAAATTAAAAATGTAAACATGCTATCCACATTTTTAAAAAATAATACTTTTTCACTGAATTTAATTTTAATTTTGTGGTCTGTTTTGTTTTCCTTTTTCCTTTAGGTCCAGTCTGATGCAGCACAAAACTATACCATCTTCTACTCAATAAGTGGTCGTGGAGTTGACCAAGAACCTTTGAATTTGTTTTTCATAGAAAGAGACACTGGAAATCTGTATTGTACCCAACCTGTGGACCGTGAGGAATATGATGTTTTTGATGTAGGAATTTTGAGTTCAATGACTTTAAATGATTAAGCTCTGTTTTTTCTGGTACTCACCTCACTACCCTTTCTGTCTTCTTGGCACTCTCTTCTTAGGGTGCAGAGCACTTTCACATCATGGGGAAAGCAGAGAGAGAAAAATTTGGAGCTTTTGATCTGCTCCTTTTTTTTTTTTTTTCCAATTTCATCTATATAAGCCCAAAGTGAAGAAACAAGTTAATTGAATGTAAATTCCAGTAAATTTGCAGGAAGATGGTTTTTCTAATGAGATATTCTGTCTGGTAACTGGTACATTTTCCTTTCTCCAGGCCATGTCTACAGTTGATTAGATTGCTTTTATTTTTTATTGTCACTTACGTGATTGTATGACAGTGTCTAAGAACTAGATAAAACCAAACCAACCCCTTGTCATTGAGTTGATTATGACTCATAACCCCATAGGGTATCCATGGGTGTAATTTTTACAGAAAACGACAGCCACGTCTTTCTCCTGTGAGTCACATGGTAGGTTCTAGCTGCCTTTTCATTAGCAGCTGAGCACTTAACCACTGATCATCCAGGGCTCCTGAGAACTTATTGCTGTTGTTGTAGTTAAGTGCCATCAAGTCAGTTCCAACTCATAGAAACCCTGTATAAGGTTTCTGAGGTTTCATGTGTTTGAGTGACAAACCTTGTGGTTAGCAGTCTAGTCCTTATCCTGCAGGGTCACAAAATAATGAAGCATAATTGGAAGAACCGATCCAAAGAAGTGTAAATTTCTGATATGGCTAAACTTACGGTCAATGAATGATACATCAGAAAAAATGCAGTTTAATTTGAAAATGTAATTGGGTCTTGAGGTACCCTGGTGACACAATAGTTAATTTTCAACTGCTAACAAAACATTGATGGTTGAAACCCATCCACCATCTCTGTGGGAGAAAAACCTGGTAATCTGCTACTACAAAGATTACAAGGTAGACAACACTGAGGCTGTTCTACTCTGAAATGGGTATGCTATGAGTCAAAAATCAACTTGACAGCACCTTACACTGAATGATGTGGACATTCCTGTGCTAGGAAAATATTTTCCCATGTGAAAAGGTGACTCTGTTCCTAGAAGAGGGAAGAGATTCTAGGGATTCTAGGAAAACAAATAAGAAAATATGACAATATGACAGATGATTCCCCACATGGCTTTTTTTTTTTTTTTTTTTGCATTTAGGTAAAACATTTTCAATTCACTGTGATAACTGCACACTGAATAGAAATATGTTCTATTTGGCATTACATTGTCTTTGTGAATTAACAATGAGTAAATTATTTAAGGCATTTTGTTAGAAATTCTCTTAAATAAATGTGGTCTATGAAGTAAAGCAATAAGCTTGGTAGTGGTGAGACTGAGGACCAGTTAGTTACTTAGATGATTTACTAGGGATTTTTCCCATTGCAGTGATTTGAATTGCTTTCCCTAATATAACTCAGATTATTGGCAAGATCAGGACTACAATGTGCCAGTGCTATGTGCTGTGGAGTCGGTTCCGACTCATAGTGACCCTGTTCAGGGTTTCTGAGACTGTAAATCTTTACGGGAGCAGAAAGCCTCATCTTTCTCCAGCAGAGCAGCTGGTAGTTTCAAACTGCTGACCTTGTGGCTCGCAGCCCGATTCGTAACCACTACACTACCAGAGCTACTTCAGAACTATAATGCAAAACTCTATATTCACATTGAGCTCCTTAGTCTCTGGGCAGAGTCATACCTGACTTCTTTGTACTTTGGCCTAGGTTTAATTTACAGTGTAGACATTAATACAGAATTCTGAGTGCTCCTAGAAATTCTCCATTATGATCATTAGAATTGATCATAAGTATCTTTGAAAATGGTTTTTAATTTTAAAAAGATTCCCAAAATAGGTAGTGGGTAAAGCATCTTATTTTCTCTTGCTAGAATCTTATTATCACTGATCTATTGAATTTGCATTTTCCTCTTTTGTAGTTGATTGCCCATGCATCAACTGCGGATGGGTATTCCGCAGATTTACCTCTCCCACTGCCCATCAGAGTTGAGGATGAAAATGACAACTACCCACTGTTCACAGAAAGCGCTTATAATTTTGAAATTCCAGAAAGTAGTCGACTTGGTAAGGCTGCTTTTAAGAATGATGAAATGCATTATGTTGACTATTTGTGTATGTTTTTGAGACATTGAATTTTTCATGGTTTTGCTTGTTTCAGATGGGTACCTATTAACCAGAACACATGTTATCAAAACAAATCAACATGTAATTTATCAGATATTACAGGAGTATTTGGTTTTGTCAGTATAGTAACAATGAAGTTTGAGCATAAGGTGGCTACTCCCACTTTACATTATATTTGGTTTATTTCATTTTCTCATTATGTTGATTTATAATTATTCTCACCCCCCAAAAGAGGACATGCAGGGTAGAAAAAAAATAATAAAACTAAAATCATTTTAGTTTTATTATTTGGACTTTTTATTAAATTTTATTTTGAAAAGGTTTGAAAGGCTTTCACCAAAGATACGCAATTTTATTTTTAGCTTTTGTTTATAGTATCTCGTCTCCTAAAACTATCACCTCACTACTCCTTATCATTTAGAATTAACTTTCCAGAAAAAAAAAAAACTAACTCCACTGCCATTAGATCGATTCCTAGTGACTCTGTTTAGGGTTTCTGAGGCTGTAAATCTTTACAGCAGCAGTAAGCTTCATTGCTCTCCTGTGAAGTACGCTGGTGGGTTTGAACTGCATACTTTTGGTTGTCAGTCCAGTACCTACTCTACGTTCTCACCAGGGCTCTTTGGTAATAACATTTAGAGAAATTTAATTTACATGTCTTTCATCCCAAGCCCTTATTTCCACATTGGAAAACCAAAAGTGTTTCAACTTAATAGGTTCTTAAATGTGATATTCATGGTGTTGTTTGAAACTTGCAAAATGAAGAAAGATCTGTGGATTTGATCATAAAGGTTGAGTTTGCTAACTTGCCTATTAACTTTTCTAGTAGTTACTTAGATCTTCACTATATTATTATATCTTCTATTTCCCTTTTATATTTTACTTTGAGTATTTGATTTCATAGGTATCAACTTCTTTATTATTCTCATGATACAATTAAACAAATAAAACTGTTTGGGGTTTAGGAAACCTAGTTTTTTGATCCTGGGTCTGTTATTAATTCACTGTGGGAACTCAGGCAAGTCTCTTTGAGTCCCCTTACCTATAAAATGAGTTAATTACAGTTGAAGACCTATAATATTTTTAGCCTCACAGTTTTATAATTTTGTTATATTTTTGTTTTTTCAAAGAGGAATGATGGGTTTCAGACTCTTTGTTGAGGATTCTGTTCTTTTCATTTGTAATAGAGAAGAATCACAGGCAAAATCCTTTGATTTCTAGATTGATGCAGGTTAATCAGTGAGGTTAGGCTAATAAGGCTGCAATGTTCTGAAGTCACTTGTGTTCTCTGATCTTCCTTAACACATATGCAAAGTGTTTGGACAAAATGTGTTCCATTAATGTAAGTATAGTACTCATTGGAAGGAATTTTCAATCAATATTTTGGAAAGATTGTTTTCTCTGGTAAGCAAAGCGATTCTACATCCAGAGAATTAAAAGTGTTAATGCCTTCTTGAGTATCAGTGAAAATGCAGAAGGAAAATGTTATGCCTTACAAAGATTATAGGTGTCCTGGTATGGTTCTGTAGGATGACTTACTACAACGTCATCATTTCATACCTACTAGCCACTCCTTGAAAACCCTATACAGGTTACTATGAGTCAGAATCAACTCAACAGCACTTACCACCAACAATGAGCAAATTTATCTCATTTCATTTCACTAAATAGACACAAAGATTCTAGTTTTTTTTTTCAGTGAAGATATAAGTGAATACCATTTTTTCCTAATAAATTTATGTTATTACTTCATGTTGTTATGCTGTAGATATTTTGTCATTGGTTATAAATATGCAATTGAATCTTTTATAGTGATACTATTTTTTAAATTTTAAGCGTTTATTATGGTGACAAACTTTTTAAAACTAGTATTTCCTTGCATTAAGAATTTTGCTCTTGATTTATTTTCTTTAAATATGATACTTCTATTAAGAAGTGTGTGTGTGCGTGTGTGTGTGTGTTTTGTCCCTCTGGTTGTTGATGCTGTTGTTGTTAACTGCCATAGGTTCCCACTCATAGTAACCCTGTCTGGGTTTGAGTGGCTGACTTTGTGGCTAGCAGTCCAGTGCTTATCCTGCATTATCACACCAGAACTCCTTGGATGAGGGTGGGGAGTTTCATTTCATCTACCTAAGTAGCATTCCCAGGTCACTCTTCTGCTTGACCACTGGCCTTTCCTGTTGTTAGTTACTAAGGACTCCATTCCAACTCATGACAACCCAGTGATTACAGAGGAGAACTACCCCACTGCGTGCTCAGGACTGTGAAATTTTTTTGCCCCTGTTTTAAATACTTTATTGTGTTTCATGTGAAAGTTTACACAGCTATTTAGATTTCCATTCAACTTCCATACTCAGATGGTTATGTGACACTGGGTTCAATTTCCATAATGTGTCAACACCCTTGTATGGACCCTTTAGTAACTAAAATCCTTTACCAGGGTTGTGCTTTTACAGTTTACTGTTGTTGTTGTGTGCTGTGGAGTCGGTTCTGACTCATAGCCACCCTGTACAAGGTTTCCAAGGCTTTAAATCTTTACAGGAGCAGAAAGCCTCATCTCTCTCCCATGGAACAGCTGGTAGTTTCGAACTGCTGACCTTGAGGTTCACAGCCTGATGAATAACCACTATGCTAACAGAAATATTGGTAGCTCTAACTGATGAAACTGTTGACTTAAATTCACTATCAATAGCAAATGATTAGTAAGAGATATCATTCCTAAGGATTTGGTGGGGGTGGGACAGTGAGGTGAGGATATTAACATCATGAAAGGGAATGATACATGTCAGGAGAAAGCAAAAAGATCATAGAAAGGAGACTGGAGATACTAAAGATCACTTTGATTGCCTGAATACACCAGTGATTTAGCTACTAAAAGCCCACTTTTTAAAACAAAGAGACCTGCTTTGCTTCCTCCTCCCCCTCCCCCACCCCCCCAGGTCTGTATGTTATTACAATCTCTGGAAAAATGTGTTGAAATTATTCTTGGTTGCCATTCAAATAACTTTTTAGTAATTTATGGACAGATACTTCAAACTATGAGAAAAATCTAAGTGTATCTTGATTCCTAGCTTCCAAGTATTTTATTGTATGAATTCAAAGTCATCCTTGTCCGCATTATCTAAACATATAATATCTTTTGGAGGAGAAACATTTTAAATTGATTACTACCATTATTCTAAAAATTGAAACCTGTAATTATAGTGAAAACTTCTAAATATATTTTGAAATTCTGAAAACTGAAGACTCTTCCTCATCCACAGGTTCGACAGTGGGAGAGGTTTGTGCCACGGACAGAGATGAGCCTGACACGATGCATACACTTCTGAAATACAGCATTTTGGAACAGATACCAAGATCACCTGGGCTCTTTTCTGTGCATCCCAAAAGTGGTGTCATCACCTTAGCCTCTCACACTCTGGACAGAGAGGTAGTTTTTGTAGAACATCACTTATTAAGGGTCAAAACAAGCCTCCTCCCAATTCTCTGCAATTTGCCATCTCATGGATTCCGAGTTTCTAATTTTATTTTAGGCACATGACAATTGAGAATTCCTATCACTTTACCCATTTTTATAGAATATCACTTTCTATTAATTTATATAAGGAGAACTTTCAATGAATACAATACAGATCAGTTGGTGTTTAGTGAAAGTAGAAAAGCAAATGGATTGTTTATATGAAAAGTATTATTACGGAATAGTATTTTTTATCTGTGGCTAGTTGGTTTCAGTTCAGTAATGGCTTCATGCCTCATGTGGAGCAAGAAAAGGTCAGTCTCTTATTCCTATATAGTCTTTATGTTGTTGTCGATTCCTACCAATAGCGACCCTGTGTAAGGTTTCCAAGGAGCAGCTGGTGAACTTGAACCACCAACCTTGCAGTTCAGTCTGACGCATTAACCCACAGTATCACACCAGGACTCCATATAGTCTTTATTTGTTGTTGTTGTTATGTGCCATGGAGTCGTTTGCAGCTCATAGCGACCCTGTACAGGGTTTCTGCAGCTGTAAATCTTTACTGGAGCAGAAAGCCTCATCTTTCTCCCACGGATGTCTTTATAGATGTACGTTATTTTACGGAAGTAATTATTTTTTAGGAAAGTTAAACTTTATGAATTATTAAAAAACCTATAGCCATATTTGTGTGATAGTAGTATACAATTCTGTGTATAGCTCTTTATGTTCAAATACTTTATGTATAATTGTATTTGGTATTTGTAATTTCCTTGTTTGACTATACAGGCTTATATCCAACCTATAGAGGATTAATATGATAGCAAAAAATGTAAAAGTTGCTGAAGGTCAAGTTACTGCTCTGAGTCTTTTGTTTGGGTTGTCTTGTGCATTTTGTTAGTCTATACTTAACTCAGGTTCATGTATTATTAACTGAGATAACTCAATCAGCTTCATATACAGAAACTAGCTTAATTGTTGCTAACACTTAAGTGGTCCCCACCACATCCAGAATAATAGAAATGCAAGAGTTAATATATCTGGGGGAGATACTATAAAGAAAAATCAGTGGGATTTGATTCCATAGACAACAAGAAGGATAGTGGGAAATATAAACAAGGAACCAAAAAGAAATAGAGAGGTTTTAGTTAACATTCTTTTTTTGGGAGGGAGTGTTCCATGTGATAAAGTACATGGTGGTAAAATAAGTGACTAAGTTCAAATGAAACAATATGAGTTGTTGCTTTTTTCTTTTTCTTTTTTTATACATCTGTGGAGGATGCCAAGATGGTATGATATTTAAGTGGAAGCAAGGCTTTTTCCCTCACTGTTTACACTGAGAAATAAACTTGTTATGTGCCGTGGAGTCGGTTCCGACTCATAGCAACCCTGTACAGGGTTTCCGAGGCTGTAATTCTTTATGGGAGCAGAAAAACCTCATCTTTCTCCCACGGAACCACTTGTAGTTTCGAACTGCTAACGCTGAGGTTTGCAGCCTGATTTGTAACCACTGCACTACCAGAGCTCCTTAGAGAGAGAAACTTACAAAAAGTAAATAATGTAAGGTTGAATGACTTGTAAAATTCAGATTTGTAGTCAAACCAGGGTCGCCTGCATTGAGAAAAGACTATGTAATGGAATTTTGTGGGGAATTACCAAGGAAGGGGTTGTTATGGGAAACAACATGGGAGGTAAAGAAATGAAAAAGGGAAGAAAACTGAATTGAGGGGAAGTTAAGACACAGAGTGTCAGAGTTCTGGAAAGCTATGTTGGAATTTTAGGGCAGAGGGCTGATTTTGAATGTGGAAGTGATCAAATAAAATGAAAACTGAGGGCTGAGATATAGGGAAACAAAATGAAGAACAGACAAATGAAAGTGGCAGTTAATACAAAAAGATACAAAAGAAAGGCTGATGACTTCATTTCATCATTAATGTATTATCTAAACTCTACTTGCAGAAGTCATTAGTGATTTTCTAATTGTCAAATCCAATAGCTATCTTTAAGTTTCTATCTGTTTTTGGAATTTACCAGTTTTGTTTTCCCCCTTGGATTTCTGTTCTACCTCTGATCTGTAGTGTCTTTTGCTTAATCTTATTTCCCCAGTTTCTGAAATCCTGTTGTTCCTTAGAATTCTATCCTCAGTTCTCCTCATCCTGTGACCTTCTCCGTGTAATCTGATTCTTGATCTAATTTTACTCACTATCTACATATTTATAACTCCTCTATCAGTATTTATAAAAGGATCTCTGGTAGCGTAATGGTTATGAATTGGGCTGCTAACCTCAAGGTTGGCAGTTTGAAACTACCGGTTGTTCCGCGAGAGAAAGATGAGGCTTTCTGCTCCTGTAAAGAATTAACAGCCTCGGGAACCCTGTGCAGGGTCACTATGAGTTGGAACTGACTCCGCGGTATTTAACAACAACAACAACATCAGTATTTACAGATATCTCTCTCTTTTCTATGGGTCGATATATACAGATGCCTTCTGTACTTCTCTGTTTAGATTTCCCATGTTGTTGTTGTTAAGTGCGATGGAGTTGGTTCTAACTCATAGTGACCCTGTGTAGGGTTTCCAAGGAGTGTCTGGTGCATTTGAACCACTGACCTTGTGGTTCAAACCAACCTTGCAGTAGAGTGCTTATCTTGCAGCATCATACCAGGACTATGTACCTAGATTTCCCACGTTGTTGTTATGTGCTGTGTAGTCACTTTCAACTCATAGCAACCCTGTACAGGGTTTCCAAGGCTGTAAATCTTTACAGGAGCAGAAAGCTTCATCGTTTTCCTGTGGAACAGCTTGTAGTTTTGAACTTCTGACCCTGAGGTTAGCAGCCCGACTTGTAACCACTATGCTATAGGCACATACAATTCAATATTTGCAAAGAAATACTAATTTTTTCCTCTCCTCTGAGAACCTGTCTCTCCATCTGCATTACCCGTATTGAGTGATACTTCTGTCTGTCTATCTATTTAATTAGGACTCCGGAACATAATTCTTAACCCCCTGTTATCCTCTTAACTTGTGTATGAAATTATAAAGTCCTGTTTCATTCTAAATCCCAAGTAACTTCACTAGTCCTTTGCTCTGCTTTCATTTTTATAGTCTTATATAAGGACCACATGTCTTACATTTTTACCAAAAAAAGAGAAACCTGTTGGTCTGGAGTTTGAAACCCCTTATGTGGTTTCCAGCTCGGGTCATTATAAATTTAGCTTAATCTTTCTCTAATATTATTTCGAAAACTCAAAAGTTCAACTTTTGTTCTCCCTCTTGACTCCCATAAAACATTTCACTATTGTGGGTGTCTTTAAGCATTAAGCTTATAGTCTTAATATGGATTTTTGTAATGTAGCCTCTACATACCTTTTCAGCTTCATCTTTGTTATTTCCTTCGAGTACCAAAATGTAGAAATTGGATCAGATCAAGGTATAGATACACACTTGATGTGTGTACAATCAAGGATTCCTTTATAAATGTAAACAAAAGTTCTGATGACTAATTCATTTTTTTCTTTGCTTTCAGAAAGTAGACAAGTACACATTGGTAATGAAAGTACAAGATATGGATGGTCAGTTTTTTGGATTGATGACTACATCAACTTGTCTGATAACAGTAAAAGATTCAAATGACAATGTACCTATTTTCAGACAAAATGCTGTGAGTACAGATTCTAAAACTCTAGTGCTGCTCTGTTTATTGTCATTTGTTATTTAATCTAATGTAATTAACATTTTATCACACTGGGAACTGTGAAGGGGGTTCAAAAAGTTTATCAAAAAAGGGACCCCTTATAGTTTTATTTAATGAATAAAATCCCTAAAGTTGACATAGCTGACATATAAATCTCTTCTATTCATTTCAGATTCTTCTCTCCTTCTCAATAAAGGTCACAGACATTAGTCTTCATGTATAATTAAGTTCTTTTATTTTTTTAAAAAATGCTTATGAAGTAATAGTATTGTGATTCAGAGTTTTAGAATATTCTATGCAAAATATATAAAAGAACTTATATTTGAATTGGAAATCACATTTTAATTTCTGAGTAAAAGTTCTTTTGATAAAGTACGTTTTTTTGTTTCTTTTTTCTCTTCTGTGACTTTAATGGGAGCAATGCTATACATTTTATTGAATTCTCTTTTATAAGCATCAAATCTTACTAATCTAAGTCAATTTTCTGAACAGAACTTCCCTTGGTAACAATATAATGATGCTCGTTCCTCCCACCATCCACATGGAAGGTTGACCAAAAGCAAAATAAAAATGGAAGGGGGTGAAAAAAACAGCCCACACAGAAATGCAGAGTAACAAAAATCACATTCTAGGGGTATAGTGCAGGAAGCTGCCTCTACTGTGCTGCTGGATCATCCTTAAACTGTCAAAAAAAAAAAGAAAATACACACACCCTAGCGCATCAAAATATACATTTCCCATTTGCTTTTTTAAAAAATTAAAAAAATAATAATAATAAACCAACCTTTAAGGAATTCACAATCAATTGTCGTCTTGTTCTGATGCTATCTATGATCAGTGACATTCATCCTCAAGGCTTAGTCTTCCACACAGTGTAAAATACCTACAATTCCAAGTATGAAGAGACACAGATGATCCCCTTGGAGAAATCCACAGGACAATACAGGCACCCAAGCTGTTCTTCTAGAGCGACAAGGCTTCGGTCAAATTGGCACAGTTCCCTTGTGTAAAATATTTCCCAACCTATTTCAATACTTTCATTGAAAGGTCAAGAATCAGTCTAAGAAGCTCCTATGTGGAATCGTCTTCTGGAAACATAGATATAGGGACAGCTGTCAAATCATTAATCACATAATCAAACTTCCTTCCTTCTTTGGAGTACCTCTTCAGTACTGGAATGCAGTCTTCAATTAGAACCTGATAGCATTCTCCTTTAAGATTGTCGAAGACTTCGCCACATGTTTTTCGCATGTGTTTCTTACATTCATCAATCACCATTTGGTCAATCTCTACCATAGTGACCATCTTTGATTTCGGTTTGGCTATTTCACATAATATGCCCCCATCTCCACCTCCCAGAATCACTCTTTGCCAGTATAACCTTCTTTTCCACTGCGGGCGGTGGGGAGGCGGTGGCGGGAGGCCCAGTCGCAGAAGGATGGGCTGCAGTGAGCTATCGGGGCGCCGGCTATAAAGTAAGTTTTTAATGAATTTTTTTCTGTTTCAGTTTAAGACATCAGTGGAAGAAAATACATTCAATGTGGAAATCTTACGATTACCTATAGAAGATAAGGATTTAATTAACACTGAGAATTGGAGAGCCAATTTTACTATTTTGAAAGGCAACGAAAAAGGACATTTCAAAATCAGTACAGACAAAGAAACTAATGAAGGTGTTCTCTATGTTGTAAAGGTATGGTAACAATGAATAATTGAAAACTTAGCAAATCAACAAGTTTAAATCAACGATAGTTTAACTACCTAAATAGTTTCAGATCACAGACATTGTAAATTAGAAGAGCACTTAACTCGCTTAATTTAATTGTTCCCATCTAAACTGCCTTTCTTCCTTAATTTATTGCCAGTTACTACTTACCTAAATAACTATGCTTGAACATTGTCAATTACAAGGATCTGTGTATCTCCATTGGCCATTTGCTCCGTATTTGGAGAGCTCTGATTCTCAGATTTTTACTTCTAATGTGCCTTAATTTACTCCTTTTTACAGGTGTCTTTTGATCTATTTCTACATTTAATGCTATAGAGAATACATATAATTCTTTTGAAAAAGTTTTTTCTGCTCGTTTGAAACTTGTTTTATTAGGGTGTTATTATTTCATTGAGTTGGTTCTAATTCATAGTGACCCTATGCAAGACAGAATGAAACCCTTGCCTCATCCTGTGTGATCCTCATAATTGTTGTTATGCTAAAGTCCATTGATGCTGCCAAACTATCTCCTTAGGGGTTTTCCTGTTTTTTGCTGGCTCTCACTTTACCAAGCATGATGTCCTTCTCCAGAACTGGTCCCTCCTGATAATATGTCTGAACTATGAGAGACGTAGTCTTGCCATCCTAGTTTCCAAGGAACATTTTGGCTGCACTTCTTCGAACACACATTTGTTTGGGTTTTTTTTTGGCAGTCCATGGTACTTTTAATATTTTTCTCCAACATCATAACTCAAATACATCAACTTTTGTACAGTCTTCCTTATTCATTGTGCAACTTTCACACGCATATGAGGCTATTGAAAATACCATGGTTTGGTCAGGTGCACTTTAGTCCTCAAACTGGTATTTTTGCTCTTGAACACTTTAAAGTGGTCTTGTGCAGCAGATTCACCTAATGCAACATATTGTTTGTTTTCTTGACTGCTGTTTCCATGAATGTTTGTTGATCCAAGCGAAATTAAGTTTATTTCAACTTCAGCCTTTCTCCATTTATCATGATGTTATTTATTGGTCCAGGTGTGAGGATTTTTGCTTTCTTTATATTGAGGCTAGGGTCTTTGATCTTCATCAGCAAGTGTTTTAAGTCCTCTTCACTTTCAGCAAGCAAGGTTGTAGCATCTGCATATCTCAAGTTGTTAATGAGTCTTCCTCCAATCCTGATGCCACGCTCTTCTTCATGTAATCTAGATTCTCAAATTATTTATCCAGCATATAGATTTAATAAGTATGATGAAAGAATACAACCCTGGTGCACACTTTTCCTGATTTTAAACCATTCAGTATCCACTTGCTCTGTTCAAATGACTACCTCTTGGTCTATATACAGGTTCAAAATCAAAGAGTTCTGCATACCAATTCTTTGCAATATTATTCATAGCTTGACATGAATCACACAGTTAAAAGCCTTTGCATAGTCAATAAAACACAAGTAAACATCTTTCTGGTGTTTTCTCCTTTTAGCAAAGATCCCTCTGACATCAACAATGATATCCTTTGTTCCACATCCTTGTCTGAATTTGACTTGTTCCTCTGTCAATGTACTACTACGGCCATTTTAAAAATTATCTTTAGCAAAATTTCATTTGCATGTGATGTTAGCGATATTGTCCAATGATTTCCACATTCTGTTGGGGCACCTCTCTTGAGAATGGGCACAAATATGAACCTCTTCCAATCAGTTGGCCAGGTATCTGTCTCCAATTTCTTAGCATAGATGAGTGAGTACTTCTAGTGCTATATCAGTTTGTTGAAAATTTTCTATTTATATTCTGTCAATTCCCAAAGGCTTGCTTTTTGCCAGTGTCTTCAGCGCATCTTTGGATTTCTTCCTTCAGTACTGTTGACCCTTCATCACATGCAACCTTTTTGAAATGGTTGAACATTGACCATTTCTTTTTGGTATGTTGGCTGTGCGTTCCTTCTGTCTTTTTTGATGCTTTCTGCATCTTTCAATATTTTTCCCATAGAATCCTTCAGAGTTGCAAGTCTAGATTTGCATTTTTTAAAGTTCTTTCAGCTTGAGGAATGCCGAATATGTTTTTCCCTTTTGATTTTCTAACTCCAGGTCTTTGCATATTTCATTATAACATTTAACTTGGTCTTCTCCAGCTGCCTTTTGAAATTTTCTGTTCAATTCTTTTACCTCCTCATTTCTTCCATTTGCTTTAGCATCTCTATACTTGAGAGCAAGTTTCAGATTCTCTTCTGACATCCATTTTGGTTTTTCCCTTCTTTCTTGTCTTCTTAATAACCTTTCGCTTTCTTCCTGTATGATATTCCTGATGTCATATGGTCTTTGATCACTAGTGACTAACACATCAAAACTGTTCTTGAGATTTTCTCTAAATTCAGGTGGGCTATAATCTAGGTCATATTTTGACTTTCATGGATTTGTTTAAATTTTCTTCAGCTTAACCCAGAATTTGCATATGAGCAATTGATGATGTGTTCCACAGTCGATCCCTGGTCTTGTTTGGATGATGATATTTAGCTTTTCCACTGTCTCTTCTCACAGGTGTTATTGTTGTTTTTAAGTGCTATTGAGTAGGTCCGAGTGATAGCGACCTTATATAGGGTTTCCGAGGAATGGCTGGCTGGTGAGTGTGACTTGCCAGCCTTGTGGTTCATACCAACCTTGCAGTCCAGTACTTATCCTACAGTGCCACAGCAGGACCAGATGTAGTATGTTTGATTTCTGTGTATTCCATCTGGTGAGGTTCATGTGCACGATCATCTTTTATATTGTCTAATAAAGGTATTTTCAATGAATAAGTCATTGATCTTTCAAAGTTCTATCATGCAATCTCCAACATCATTTCTATTACCAAGTCCATAGGTGATAAACATTAACAATTCAGGTAACTACACCTTACATGCTATAATTTAGAACTTCATATTATTCTCAATACCTCTCTTGAGCATATTCCTGGTTGCATCTGACCTTTATATAAGTGGCAAGGAGGATAAAAAATAGAATTGCAACTGACAGCCCTGAATGAGCTTTGTCTTTGATCTATATGTTGTAATTTATTATTTTAATTATAAATAAGTCAAAGGAGCCATCTGGGGCCTTGGATATGTGGAGCATGCCAGCTGCATGAAATAGCCTAAGCCAGAGACTCAAGCCAACTCCTTGGTCAAAATCCTCCTTATTCTTTATTTGGTCAGAAGTTTGATTCTTTTCTCAGGTCCCTCTTATTTAAGGCTGTTACTCAAGACCTGTTTGGAGACATTTCTTGATCATTGTTGTTATCATTTCATTTTAATGCTTTTGTTTTACATTGGAGACAAAATTTAAGTGATATTAAGAATTAAATTGCTGTTGTAAACTTTTTCTTATCTGATAGTTTAAGGTTTTCCTTAGCAAGGATGAACTAGAACAATATAGCAGGAATTGTACTTCCATGCCCCTATAAAACCACCTGAGGGACTGTTGAGCCACCTTTCCTAAAGGCTTAATACCAACTCACCTTTTTCAGTAGCAAAGGATAAAATTGGCACATTGAAAGGAGACCCAGTGGCACAGTGGATAAGCGCTCAAAAGCTAACCAAAAGAGTTGCAGTTTGAACCCATCAGCTGCTCCACTGAAGAACAATGTGGCAGTCTGCTTCCATAAATATTGCCACCTTGAAAACCCTCTAGGGTTGTTCAGCTCTATCCTACAAGGTCTTCATAAGTAGAAATCAACTGAATAGCAATCCGTTTTGGAGTTATCATTTTAAAAATTGAGAACGTAGAACTTATCCAGCATTTTCTGATTGACAAAAGCTCAATTGTTATTTGAAATTCCAGACATATTTCCCCTGGATACTAATATATATATATGTATGCACTATTTTAAAGCCACTGAATTATGAAGAAAACCACCAAGTGATCCTGGAAATTGGAGTATGCAATGAAGTTCCACTTACTAGAGATGCTGCAACCAAATCAGTAACCATGAGCAGAGCTATGGTTACAGTTCAAGTAAAGGATCAGGATGAAGGGCCTGAATGCCACCCTCCAGCCCAGTATGTACGGATTAAAGAAAACTCAGAAGTCGGGGTGAAGATTAATGGGTATAAGGCGTATGACCCAGAAACTAAAAGTAGCAATGGTTTAAGGTATGAATAAATTTATAACCACATACTCATGTATTTATAATAATTGAAACCAGTAGGTACTAAAACACATTTTCTTGTCTTTTTTTATTAACAGGTATAAAAAATTGTATGATCCTAAAGGGTGGATCAATGTTGATGAAATGTCAGGATCAATTATGACTTCCAAAATCCTGGACAGGGAGGCAGTGACTCCCAAAAATGAATTATATAATATCACAGTCATGGCAATAGACCAAGGTAACAAAATTTTAATCTGATATTTTATAAAGGGTTTGGAGAATAAACTGAAAAATGCCATTGTTCTAGTTGACTCAAAATGCCCTATAGGATAAAATAAGATGATATTTTTACTTGTTGTTAAATGCCTTCGAGTTTGTTCCGACTCATAGCGATGCTGTATAGGGTTTCCAAGGAGCATCTGGTAGGTTTGAACTGTTGACCTTGTGGTTCACAGTCCAGTGTTGATCCTAACTGATGTGTAATTATTAGTAATTATTTATAATGCGAGGAAAGAATAACACAAATTATTCTTTCCTCAGTAATAACACATTGTTTATTTTAAGAATGCTCAGTCATACTTTTAATTCCTAGACTTTATAAAAGGTAATTGCTGGTCAGTAATAATATCCTATATTTGTATTTTATTTTCACTTATCTTTAAACATTGTTTGTCTATTGTATTTCACTACAGCTTTACAAACTATCATGTTAATTTTAAGAAAACAAAACAAAGTAAGATAACCAGAGAGATAAGAAATTTAAGGTTTCTTTTCTTAAATTTTTTCAGTATCTTGTACTATCTGCTCAAGAAAATGTCTATAATGTTAAGCAGAAAGATTATAAACTTGGTTTACCTCTTAAAGCTCTTCATTGAAAGCATGTCTGTGTGTGATTCTATTAAAATATCTTAAGCAGTTGATTCCATTTTTAATAAAGCTGGTTTTATTTCTGAAGACAATTTTCATTTTCACATTTATTAAATATTGTAGTTCTGTGTAGTTGTAAAAGTTTATATTTCCTTGTCTAAGATTAGCAATGTTTGGATTCCTTACCCTGTTTCAATAATAAGACCAAGTTTGTTACCAACTTTATGATTAAGGAAGCAAATATTTAATTTAAATAATTATCTAGTGCTTATCTTTAATTTAAAGTGCTTTCAGAATTCCCATTTTAATATCAAAGAGAGAATAGCAAAGTGAAGAGAGTCTTTCAGTATTCTCTAACCCATCAGCATATTTTTAAGAAATGGGGAAAAAAAACAAGGCTATGCTCCTTCAGTCCCCTGGCTTATGTGAACAGCCCACTGTAAATTAGAATTTATTGACTTTTCCACAGTCTATCTTACAATGTAACAAAAGTAATGCAAATCTGAAAAAAAAAAGTATTAAAAAAAGTATAAAGAATTCTAAAAGCCAAGGAGCTCTGGTAGCGTACTGGTTATGAGTTGGGCTGTTAACCTCAAAGTTAGCAGTTCAAAACTACCAGCTGTTCCATAGGAAAAAGATGAGGCTTTCTGCTTCCATAAAGATTTACAGCCTTGGAAACCCTATTCATGGTTGTTATGAGTCGGAATCGACTCGATGGCACACTACCACCACCACCATTCTAAAAGCAAATATAATAGCCTAAAATGCAGTGCAGGTGATGTAGAAAGGAAAGTTAAGTCAATTGTCAGTGTTTAGAAGATTTCTTCTGCTAGCATGATGGTGTTGGTGCTGTGCCACTGAGTCAGTTCCAAATCATATTGACCCTGTATAGGGTGTACAAGGCTTTATATCTTTTTGGGAACAGAAAGCCTCTCCTGTGAAGTGACTGGTAGATTCGAACTGCTGACTTTGTATTTAGTAGCCCAGCTCATAACCCACTACTGTACCAGGGCTCCTTGCTGGCATGCTGAATCCATCATTTATGCATTTTTTCTTTTCTTTGAAACCACTTACATCTGTGCTTCCTACTTCTCACTCTCAATTATTCTTTTGCAATAAGTAAGCATATGTAATTAAAAAAAAATACTTTAAAACTCATTTTATCTCTTTTAATCATCTAGCAAGGTGAAATTGCTAGGAAACAGGGGGCCATGTATGATTTACCTTTATAGACTCAGCACAGCAGGACCTTAAGTACTTATAGATCTATAGATCCTAAAGGACAATGATAAGACAAGACCTAAAGAAAATGGTCTCATTTGATTTCTTTGTAGATTGAATCTTTTTCTAGCTCAGCTTATCATTATTTCAGAATCTCTCCTTTTTTTGACGTCTTTTCCTTAAAATAACACATATTTTTTCAACCCTGCTAATAATTTGAGGAGCTTTAAAAAAAGTATTAATTTATAAATAACATGATAAATGATGAAAAGATTGACGTTATCAAAGACTTCATTTTGCTTAGTCCACAATCAACACTCATGGAAGCAGCAATGAAGAGATCAAAAGACATACTGCATTGGACAAATCTGCTGCAAAAGATCTCGTTAAAGTGTTAAAGAGCAAAGATAGCAATTTGAGGACTAAGGTGTGCCTGGCACAAACACTGGTATTTTCAATTGCTTCATATGCATGTGAAAGTTGGACAATAAATAAGGAAGATCAGAGAAGAATTGGTGCATTTGAAGTATGATGTTGGAGAAGAGTATTAAAAATACCATTGATTTCCAGAAGAATAAAACAATCTGTATTGGAATAAGTACAGCCAGAAGGCTCCTTAGAAGCCACAATGGTAAAACTTTGTCTCTCACACTTTGGACGTCTTATCAAGAGGGACCAATTCCTAGAGAAGGACATCATACTTGGTAAAGTGGAGGATCATGGAAAAAGTGGAAGACCCCCAACAAGATGGATGGGCACTATGGCAGCATCAGTGGCTTAAGTGTAGCAACAACTGGGAGGATGGTACAAACTAGGCAGTGTTCCCTTCTGTTGTGCGTATGGTCGATTTGAGTTGGAACAGACTTGCAGGCACCTAACAACAACAATAACAATTAGACTAATTGAATTGAAATTCCTGGAAGTGAGCCTAGGCATCATTTAAAAAAAAAAAAAAATCTCCCATGTGGCTTGAGACCAAAATAAACATCAGAATAGACTCTGAAATGTGCTTTTGAATGTGGAGAGAGAGGCTAAAGTGAAAGGAAAAAATGATGAGGCTAAAGAGCTGAACAGAAGATTTCAAAGGGTGGTTAATTAAGGAAGGTCAAGTGAAGTATTATCATGAAACATGTAAATCCTGGAGTTAGAAAGTTTAACAGGAAGAACACACTTGGCATTTCAATCTGAAAGAACTGAAAACAATGATTCAAGCTTCAAATTTCAATACTGAAGGATTCTGTGGGTAAAACGAACTCCTGGTGTGGTGATGCTGTAGGACTGGCACTAGACTGCAAACCACAAGGTCAGCTGAATATAGAGAAAAGTTTTCTGGTGAGTTGGTGTTCAATAACCCAAACATCAAAGAACCGTGTGGCTATGGAGAGAGCTTTAATATCAGAACCTCAGGGATTCTCTGACTGTAAACTCCAGGGACATACATGGACACTTTGAGCGTATTACGGAAATTATGTGACTGTCATAGTCTTAGATTCTCTGTGCATGGCTGCCTTATAAGGAAAATAAAAGTAATGTATTTGGGGAAAAAATAAATCAAGACATATTGCAGAGGACAAATCTGTTGCAAAATCAAAGATGCCATTTTAATGACTAAGGTATGTTGCGGACCGTGTAAGACTAGTCAGAGGTTCGAGGCCCTATAGGGCCGAGTGTAACAAATGAAGCCACTGGCAGTTAATGGCAAATTGTTTTTTATCTTAATATTGTTACATGTATTAATTTAATACATGGAGCCTCTGATAATCCACAGATAAATGTGATATTTTCCTAAGAGCCCAGAATGTAAAAATTGCAAGGTCAAGCCTTTCTCCAAGAGGATTAACTAAAAATATCTTAGCTACTTCTCGGTTCTTTGTTCCATAGACAAAGAACCCATCCACCCTAATCCTTTTCCAGGTGCAGCCCATTCACCTGGGGTGCCTCGAGTCCTCCTGCAGAGCTGGCTCCGGAAGCCGAAGCAGCAGGACTCCGCCTAAGCTTTTGTCCTTAACTTTCACCTTCCCCCAACTGACCTCAGGGGCTATAGATATGTTAATTGAGCCTGAGAAGCAAAGTTGCTGGCCTGGGATTCGAACCAGCGAAGTACGATGTAAAGTTACCTGAATGTCTGGAAAAGTACTGATGTTAGCTGTACCTTGCCTAAGTCCCTCCCAGCTTGGTGTGAAGCTCCTCCCCTAAATAAAA